CAAGCGCTGTACCACTGAGCTACAACCCCAGCCCAACTTTGTCAATTTTTGATGTAAAATATGTCTCAAGCCAGCATGGTGACACACACTTATACTCCCAGTGACTGTAAGAGGTTGAGGTAGGAGGAGTGCAAGTTTGAGGCCACCCTAAAAAACTGATCGAGACCCTGTCTCAAATAAAATATACTGTTTGTTTGTTTTGGTACTAGGGATTGAATCCAGGAGACCTTAACCATTGAACCATATTCCTAGCTCTTTTTATTTTTTTTTTATTTTGAAATAGGGTCTAAGTTTCTTAGGATCTTGCTTAGTTACTATTTGAATTGCTATACTTTGAATTGCTATTCTTCTGCCTTGGCGTCCCCAATTGCTGGGATTATAGTTGTATACCACCATGCTTGGCTGTCAGTACATTTTTTTTTTTTAATGGACAGGTTATGTAGCTCAGTGGCAAAGTGCTTGTGTTGAATATGTGATACTCTTGGTTTAATCCCCATTGCAAACAAATAAAACGTTTCAGTGGGGTTTTTTTTGTTGTTGTTTTTGTTTTGTGTGTGGTGCTGGGGAGTGAAGCAAGCACTGTACCACTGAGCTGCACCCCCAACCTTCCTGATATTTTACCTAAAATTTCATTGAATGTTTTTCTGTTTTATTAATTGATATTCTAATTAGATATTTAATAATAATATATTGCTGGTCACTTTTGCTATTTGGAAATTTCAAGACTAAATTCTTGCCATAAGTTATTTAAACTCCTTATTTCTTAGTTATTGCTGACTCCCATGCATTTGCCTCCCCACTCAGAATATGAAAATTGTAGGTATCAAAATCTTGGCATATAATTTTTAGGACATTATAAGATTCTGATCAAGATTTAATTAACAACAGAAGATTTTGTTGTTTTTATTTATTTATTTATTTAATTTTATGTGGTGCTGAGGATTGAACCCAGGGCCTTAGGTATTGATAGGTGAGTTCTCTGACACGGAGCTACAGCACCAATCCCTCTTGTCTATTTTTTTTGGCTTCATTTGAGTCTATCCTCAAATATACTTCACTCTTTAAGAATTACAGAATAATTGGGCTCATCAGTTTTACCTTAGTGGAACATTTGGAGTTGCAGTAGCTATTTTCTTCTAATGGTTGATAATTTTTTATTCTGATATTAACAATTTCTCAGGAAATCTAATTAATATAATGAAATCTTATTCATAGGATAGGACATTATCTATTTTCATATTACATTTAAACCTCACTTTATTTTGGCTTTATTAATTTGGATCTATGTGTTAATATATGCTGAGAGGATTTGTTCATATTTTAGGAAGAATATTTAAACTATGAGAGTGGCTTCCAGATACCCTGTATAAGAGTACTTATTTACTTTTAAAAAATATGTTGTAGGTTACTATTAAAAGAGATCATACATCATTTATTTCACAGCAAAACTTAAAGTTTAGAAATTTAGAAAGATTGCCACAACTGCTAATTCTTTTTTTTTTAGCCAGCTATTTTATGACCTGTTTTTTTCTTGAATAAATTCTAGAGACAAGTTTATTTTAGGTCATTGACAAAACCCTCTGCACTTGTTTTTGAGGTAGTGATGGAGGAAAGCAAAAAAGCAAGCTTTTAGGAAGATCTTCATTTGTGGTTAAAAATAATATTTGGGATTCGTTTGAGGTAAACATTTTTTCACTTTTATACTCTTCCATAGTTTTAATGAACATACAGTATTTTATTAGCTATGATTCAGGAAATAGATCTATCACTGAGTATGCTCATAAAGAAGTGAGTTAAAATATTTATTCATTTGGTTAGGCATGTTGGTGCACAACTATAATCCCAGCTATTTGGGAGGCTGAGGCAGGAGAATTGCAAGTTCAAGACTATCCTGAAAAATTTAGTGAGACTCAAAATTAGAAAAAAAATAGTGGAAGAGGGGAGCAGGGGTATAACTCAGTGGTAGAGTGCTTATCTAGCATGAGTTCAATCCCCAGTCCACAATAAAATAAAATAAAATATTTTAAAATTGTGTATTTGTTGGTCTCACTTCTAAAATCAGTATACAGGTTGTTGTTTACCATTTCTTGTGTTTGAAGCAAGATAGGGTAGCAGTTGCTATTTGGAAATTTCAAGACTAAATTCTCAAAACATCTGTTTGCAGATAACTAGGATTATAGAATATATTTCTAATATCCTTACCTTAATCACCCCACCTCCTGATGCTGGGGTTGAACTCAGAAGCCTCACACTTGCTAAGCATAGTCTCTACCTTTGAGCTAGATTCCCAGTCCCCTTGGTTTTGTATTTTGATAGCTTTATAGTAGGATGACTACATTACCCAAAGAGAATAGATAGGCCTTAATTTATTTAAGAAGCATTGTTAGGTGTACGTGGAATTTTTTGATTGGTCTGAAACAGAAAGTTCCACTTTAGGATATAAATTTAGTTAATTTAAATATCAGATTTTTATTTTTTCCCTTGCAGTACTGGGAATTGAACTCAGGCCTGTGCACAACCAGACAGGTACTCTACTACTTAGCCATATCATTAGCCTTAAATATCAAATCTTAATTTTGAAACATCTTGATTAAGTATTATATTATGACTGTTAAAAATCTAAATATTTTGGGCTTTCTGTGCCATGCAGTCTTAGAGAAAATAAATTCTGACATTGTAGTACAAAAGCAGTCAAAGAATACATAAATAAGAGTGACTATGTTTCAGAAAAATCTTTGTTTAGAAAAACAATAGGCTACAATTTGCTAATGAATTTCAGTTTTAAAATATGCTGTGTATGGGAGGTCTCTATTTTCTGCTCAAAATCTGCTAAAAAAATCTTAATTAAAAAAAATATATCAGTAAAAATAATTTAGGGGGTTGCAGTTGTGGCTCAGTGGTAAAGTATTTGCCTAGCATGCATGAGGCTCTAGGTTTGATCCTCAGCACCACATAAAAAAAATAAAAATAAAGATATTGTATTCACCTAAAATTAAAAAATGAATATTTAAAAAAATTTAGAATGAAATAATGATCAAAACCTTCATGAGGAGCCAGGGTTGTGACTCAGTAGTAGAGTTCTTACCTAGCACGTGGGGGGGAAATGGGTTTGATTCTCAGCACCACATATAAATAAGTAAAATAAAGATCCATTGACAACTAAAAAATATTTTTTAAAACAACCTTCATGATATCTCTTTATTTCACTAAGTGGTAAATCCAGTAGATAACTAAATTATAAGTATCATCTGTCATATATGCTCTCAGGATCTCATGACAGGTTCCCCCCACCCCTTGGTATCAGAGATTGAACTCAGGGGCACTCAACCACTGAGCCACATCCCCACCCCTATTTTGTATTTTATTTAGAGACAGGGTCTCACTGAATTTAGCATCTCACCATTGTTGAGGCTGGCTTTTAACTCACTGACCCCCTGCCTCAGCCTCCCAAGCCACTAGGATTACAGGCGTGTGCCACCATATCTGGCCACCATTTGGTTTTATAGGGATCACTTATACAACTTATTTTACTCATTGATTAAAGCAAAAAAAATTTGTGACATGTCATTAATACATTTGATAACATAAATCTAGAACACCTCAGAGAATTGTTGGAGAAATTGTTGATGTAATTGATATCCTTGGTTAAGTAGAAAATTCCTGAGGAATTTTTGATTGCCTTGCTTTCATCTTCCTATCATTGATATAGTAATTATTTTGTTGGTGTTTCCCTCCTGTAGTATATATTTTCTCCTGTGAATATAACAGGATATGTTTGTGTCAGTTAAAATATTTACAATCATTGAGTGTAATATCCATGTACTGCATCTAACAACTTATTTGAAAAATTATTTTAGTCAGGTGCTATTGAATTAGCTTGACTCCATTTTCTGGGGATCAGCTTAACTATAATAAATGTATATCCTTTTAATCTTTTATTGTGAAACAATACAGAAAAGCACATCAGATTCCATGAATTATTATAGTTATTAATTAATTGATTAATGAGTTATTATAAAGAAAACATCAGTGGAACTACCATAACAAGAAACAACATGGCCAGCACCCCAGAAGTCTCTCTTCCTTTCTCCAACTATATAACTCCTTCTTTTCCCCTAAGAATAACTATAAATCCTGATTTTTATAGTATCCATTTTCTTACTTTTCTTTATAGTTTTACCACTTATGTGGCAAAACAATATAGTGTAATTTTGCCAGTTGTTGAACTTTACTTTTTTAAAGATTTTTTAAAAATATTTTTAGTTGTAGAAGAACACAATACCTATATTTAATTAATTATTTATTTAAAAAGTTTTTTAGATGTTGATGAACCTTTATTTTATTCATTAATTTATATATGGTGCTGAGAATCAAAACCAGCTCCTCACACATGCTAGGCAAGTGCTCTAACTCTGAGCTACAACCCTACCCAATTTTTAAAATTTACTATATTACAGATAGATTCTTAAGTATATTACTAGTACTTTAATACTGTATTCATTTTAGCCATTAAAAAAATGTTCAAGGTAAGCCTAACAGGTTCTCACTATATTACTTAAGGTCTTGCTAAATTGTTGGGGCTGGCTTTGAGCTTCAGATCCTCTTGTCTCAGCCTCCCTAGTCACTGCATTTATCTTGAACTTCTTCAGTATTTTAGTAAAACAGTTCCACAGATGATCTTGTACCTTTTCTTGCCCTTTAGATGAATTTTTCATGAAGGACTCTGTTGTAGGTACCTAATTAATAATAACTATGATGAATGGTGAAGGGTATAGCACTTGGCTTTGAAAATAGATTTCTCAATGTCTTTTATATCACCTTGTAAATTGCATAGTGATAGGATTGACTTCATTATTTTTATAAATATTCTAATAAAAATGCATGTTAACATATATGTATAGTAGACACATGTGCACATAAATACTTTTGCTTCTGATTTTAATAAACACTTCAGTCATCCAAAGAATTGGATTTTATAGCACTAATACTTTCTTTTTCAGGTGAAACTTCCACCAATGATGGAAATCATAACTGCTGAACAACTGATGGAATATTTAGGTTAGTGTTGAAGAGTGGATGATTTTATATCTCTTCCAAAATAAAACTAAGTTTTCAAAGCTGATATGTTACACATTCTCACCTTTACAAAGTACTATATTATACACTGTTTTAAAATTATATTTTTAATCTGTTAATTTTTTAACTAGTATGTTACTATTCTTAGATGTTATAGGCTTCTAACCAGCATTAAATTCTGCAAGGAGAATAGGTGATATCTAGAAAACAAGATGCATATAAAGTGTAATAAATTGCAGAATGGGAGATGACACAGAAACTCTGACATTGCATGTAGAAGGTATTAAAAAAATATTGGATAGGTTTGGGTTAAAGATGAAGGAGGTAGACTGGAGATATAAGTCAGTGGTGGAACATTTACCAAGTATATTCAGGGTCCTGAGCTCAATCCCCAGCACCACAAAAAAATAAAAAATAAAGGCAAAGGGGATGATTTAGGGTAGTGCTACTCAAAGTATGATTCATGATCCTATGCCAGTTTATGAAGTATTAGTTCAGTCTCCAGTGAGATAGGAGCTTAAATCACGATATAAAACATTTACATTAGTAAGTACACTTAATTCATCCAAAATGTTTTTTATAGCAGAATTTTCTTGATGAAGGAATCAATGTATTGAATTGCATTTTTTCACAAACTTATTTCTAATAAAGTTTGTAAACCAGTTGTTTTGAGTTGAACTTGTTTAGAGAGTAGGAAGTTACACATCATACTGAGATCTTTTAAAATTTTGGCAAATAATAATCTATATATATTTATACTATTGCCAAATAGGAAACCTTAAACCATATTTTTCCAGTTTTTTTTTTTTTTTAGTAATTAAAATTTTATTTTTAAAAATATTGTCAGCTGATAATTTGGCTCCACCATTCCGGATAATTAGCTGTTTGTTTTGTTTTGTTTTGTTGGTAAGATATAGGCTTAGTAAAATAATTGGGATTGCGGTTTTGGAAGACCTTTTTCTTTATGTAATTCATATCATTTAATCCCTACTCACTGGCTAGGGACCTCATGGTTATAGATAGAATACCTACTTATTTGCAAATAGACTGGATTTTTTCCCTTTTATTTTTATTTTTTATTTGGGGGCATGGTACTGCAAATTGAACCAGGGCACTTTGCCAATGAGCCACATCCCTAGCCATTTTTATTTTTTATTTTGAGACAGGGTCTCACTAAGTTGCTTAGGGTCTTGCTGATTTGCTGAGGCTAGTCTTGAACCTGTAATCTTCGTATATCAACCTTCCAAGTTGTTGGGATTAAAGGCATGCATCACAGCACCAGCTAACCTAAGTTATTAATCCTTCCACTTAATGATTTCTAAATTATATATCATGGGGAAGACTCAATATGCTTGGTGCTTTGAGGAATATCCAGTGTGACTGCCAAGGAATGTGCAAAAGGAAGCTAGTAGGAGATGAGATCGCACATGGAGTCAGATCACATAGGGTCCAGTAGCTGTTATAGAGGCTGACTTGCTGTGAGTTGGGAAACCATTAGAGGATTTTGAACAGAAGACTGATATGATCTGATTTGGATTTAATGAGAATTCTCTAGCTATTATGTTGAAAATAGACCTGGGGTAAGGACAGGAGCAGAGAGACCAATTAGGAAACTTACAACAAATGTGGTAGTAGCTTCAAACAAGGTAGAACTGGAGGTGGTAAGAAGTGGTGAAATTCTGAACATATATAGCTGACAGAATTTCCTGATCAGTCAGATGTGGAATGAAAATGGAGTCAAGGGTTACCCTGTGGTTTTTGGCTTGAACAGTGAGAAGGATGGAGTTGTCATCAACTGAAACAGAAAAAAATGGAAGGAGAAAGTTTAGGGAGGAGAAATATCAGGATACTTATATTTGGTTATAAGATGCTTATTGATATTCAAATTGGAGACATCAGGAAGGCAATTGGATATATAAATCCAGAATTAGAGAAGAATTCTAGATCATTGCTGTATAATATAACTTTTTGTGATGACAGAAATGTTCTGTATATATGCTTTCTAGTTTGTACCCACTAGCCCACACATAGCCCTTGAACTCTTAAAAATGTATTTGATGTGCTGGGCACAGTGGCCCATGCCTATAATCCCAGCAACTCTGGTGGCTAAGGCAGGACAATAACAAGTCTGAGGCTAGCCTTGTCTCAAAATTCAAAATAAAAAGGTCTTGTGTACATAGCTTACTATGGTACACTCAATGGTAGAACACTCTCATATTCAATATTCAGTACCACACATACACACACAAATGTAGCTAATGTGACTGAGGAATGGATTTTTGGTTATTTGTTTTTTTATTTTTGCAGTGCTAGGTATCAAACCCAGGACATTGCTTGTGTCAGGCAGGTACTCTACCACTGAGTTATACCCTTAACCCCTGAATCTTTAATTTTAGGTAATTTAATTTGTATAGAAACATGGTGCTATTGGCTACTGTATTAGATAATACAGGTCTAATCTGTAAATTATATATTTTAAGATAAGATATATAAACGGGAGATTGGGTGAGTTCCTAAAGGGAATGAATGTAGATAGAGAAGGGAAAAGATTAGTGGACTGAATCCAGGGCATGCCAGTGATTAGCCAAGAAGGAGAAAAATAGGAAATTGAGATTTCCAAAACTCCAAATGAAGAAGTGTTTCAAGGAAGAGTGAGAGATTAGGTAAATCTCAAATGCTGCTAATAGGTCAAGAGGGATGAATAATGTAAACTGACCACTGGTTTAGCCACAAGGATGTCACTGGTAGCTTTGTTAAGCATATGGAATGAAAACCTTACTGTAGAAAAGTGAAAAATTTAGACCTTCATACATAGACATAGAATATATAATAATACAGATAATTTGAAAGGATATAGCAAAATCCCATAAACAGAGTCATATATACACAAGTACTGATAGCATAAAAGAATGAAATTGGTGCAAATAGGACATTAATATTCAGAATATACCAAGAATTCAAAGAACTAAACAAACACTTCTCAAAAGAAGAAATACAAATGGTCAAAAAGTACATGAAAAAATGTTCAACATCTCTAGCAATTAGGGAAATGCAAATCAAAACTACATTGAAATTTCATCTCACTCCACACTAGAAAAACTAGGGAATAGTAGGAACATACCTCAACATTGTAAGAACTCTATATGTTAATCCCAAGGTCAACATCATTCTAAATGGAGAAAAATTAAAAGCATTCTCTCTAAAAAACTGAAACAAGACACTTTCATCACTTCTATTTAACACAGAAACTCTAGCCAGAGCAATTAGGCAAAAGAAATAAATTAAAGGAATACAAATAGGAAAAGAAGAGCTCAAGCTATCCCTGTTTGCCAAAGACATGATTCTATATTTAGAAGACCCTAAAAACTCAACCAGAAAACTCCTAGAACTCATAAAATAATTTAGCAAAGTAACAGGATATAAAATTAACAACCATAAATCAATTGTGTTTCAATACACCAATGATGAATCAGCTGAAAGAGAAATTAGGGAATTTATCCCATTCACAATAGCCTCAAAAATAACAACAACGTGAGAATCAATCTAACAAAAGAGGTGAAAGACCTATACAATGAAAACTATAGAGCAATAAAGAAATTGAAGAAGACTTTAGAAGATGGAAAAATCTGTACTTATAGATAGGCAGAATTAATATTGCCAAAATGGCCATACTACCAAAAGTGCTATAAAGATTTAATATGCAATTCCTATTAAAATTTCAATGCCATTCTTCATAGAAATAGAAAAGGCAGTCAAGAAATTCATTTAGAAAAATAAGAGACCCAGAACAAAGCAATCCTTTGTGAGAAAAGTGAAGCAAGAGACATCACAATACCAGACCTTAAATTATACTACAGAGCTATGGTAATAAAAACAGCATGGTATTGGCACCAAAACAGACATGAAGACCAAAGGTACAGAATAGAAGACACATAAATACAGTTATCTCATATTAGAACAAGGCACCAAAAACATACATTGGAGAAAAGATATCCTCTTCAACAAATGGTGCTGAGAAAACTGGAAATCAATATGTAGCAGAATGAAATTTAACCTCTACTTCTCACCTGCACAAAACTCAAAAGTGGATCAAAGACCTAGGTATTAGACCAGAGACCCTGCACCTACTGGAAGAAAATGTAGGCCCAACTCTCAATTATGTTGGTTTAGAACTGAGTTTCCTCAACAAGACTCCTAAAGCGCAAGAAGTAAAATCAAGAATCAATAAATGGGATGGAATCAAACTGGAAATCTTGTTCACCGAAAAAGAACAATTAAGAACACAAAGAGAGAGCCTACAGAATGGAAGAAAATCATTGCCACCTGCACCCCAGATAGAATATTAATCTCCAGGATATATAAAGAAATCAAAAAACACAAAACAATCAAATAACCCAATCAATAAATGGGCAAAGGAACTGAACAGGCACTTCACAGAAGAAGAAATAGATGAAAAAAAACGTTCAACATCTCTAGCAATTAGAGAAATGCAAATTAAAGCTACACTGAGATTCCATCTCACTCCAGAGTGGCATTTATCAAGAAATCAAATAACAATAAATATTGGGAGGATGTGGGGGAAAGAGTTCACTCATACATTGCTGGTGGGGCTGCAAATTGGTGCAATCACTACTATAGAAAGCATTATGGAGATTCCTCAAAAAAAATGGAACCATCATTTCACCCAGTTATCTCACTACTCTGTATATACTCAAAGGACTTAAAATCAGCATACTACATTGACACAGCCACATCAATGTTTATGGTGGCATAATTCACGATAGCCAAATTATGGAACCAACCTAGATGCCCTTCAACAGATGAATGGATAAAGAAAATGAACACAATGGAATATTACTTAACCATAAAGAAGAATGAAATTATGGCATTTGCCAGTAAATGAATGGAACTGGAGAATAGCATACTAAGTGAAACAAGCCAATACCCCCCAAATCAAAGGGTGAATGTTCTCTCTGATATGT